GAGGGGACCCGGGAAGTCACTGGTATATGCCCGCCACCTTGGTGGTAAGATGGCAAGGAAGGTCCAGAGAAAGGGCTGCCAGTTGCCTAGGTCATCGCCGAGTAATGGGGGCTACCTCACCCTAGGTGGCCACTGGGCCCCTCCCAGCCCTGCTTCCCTGCTGTAGGATGGATGGTAACATCAGTTTGCAGGGCTGTTGCAGAGACCAGCATGCCAAGTGCCTAGCATATATGGGCTAGGGATGTTTGTCTGAGCCCACTGTGCAGAGGAGGGTTTGGGCTGGGAGAGGCTGAGCAATGAGTGCACTGTTTTGGGATCAGACAGGGCTGATCCCAGGCTGGAAGTCAGGGTCCTGACTACCCCAGTTGTCCACTCCACTGGGCAAAGCTGAGATGCAGCTCTACTCCCTGGACCACCAGTGCAGGGAGTATGTCTGGAACAGAGGTAAGGATGGCGAGAGAGGACAGGCAATCCAAAGACTGTGTGGTTTCAGGAAGGGGTGACCGGCTCGTGGGGGAGAACACACTCATCCACATGCAGGATAGGACCCTTTGGCATCCAGAAAGCTGAGGCCTTGGGTTCCGGGTGGGGCAGGAGATGGAGACTGAGCTGGAGGTCCACCTAAGGAGCTCCTGAGTTCTGGGGATTTCTGCCCTAGCCACCCCATCCTGTGGGGTTATGCCTGTGGCAGACCCAGCTGGGATCTGGCATTGCTGTGTTCTGCAGAGGTGGCAGTTCTCTTCTCTTTGCCAAGCCTCGATCTCATCTGTGAAAGGGGTAGGGCTCTGGGAGACCAGCACCATGGCTGATGGTAAATACCGTGCCTGCCTGGCCTCCGCAGGCATGGCCACAGGGCTGTGCTCAGTGGTCTCTACGTCCCCGCTCACCTCGGCCACGGGCACCCCCTCCGGCGGGCGGCACTGCAGGAGAACCTCATGGTCCAGGGGCACCTCCTTGCCCAGAGGCTCCTGATCGAAGTTCTTGCGCAGGTCTGGGAGAAGCGAGAGGGTCCCAAGGCAGTCAGGTGTGGGGAGAACTGGAACCTGATGTGCTATACTGTGGCCACTGGGTGGCAGCGCAGACCCAGGGAACTGTTCATGGGCCCACCTGTCCTTTGCCTGGGAAATTTCCTCTACTCCAAAGGAGGGGCTCACCAAGCAGACTTAGGGGAACAGGGTTCCCTCCCTGACTCTGGGATCCTAAGCACATAGTGGCTCAGGATGGGGGAGGAAGCTGCCAGCTTCTTTTATACAGAAGTAGATGAAAAGAGGCCCAGGTTCTGGGTCTAGGAGCCCTCTCTGAGCTGGCATCCATGTGCTGGGATGTCTCTGCCACAGGCATCCTCAGCCAGGGATGCTGGAGGAGGCCCCACAGATGTGAAGTTCCCTCTCCAGCAACCTCGGGGATGGGGAAGGGTCCTGCAGGGACGGGGTGGGGGTCAGGGTGGCGTACAGGCGATGCGGACGTAGGCTCGGCGACTCTTGGTGGTGCCCGCAGAGCTCCAGGCCACGCACTGGCACCAGTAATCCTCCAGCCCAAAGAGCTCCTCCACCTGCTGCCGCGACACCTCAATCTGCACCTCGCGCACCCGCAGGCCTGGGAGGAGAAGAGAGTGCTGTCAGGGGGCAGGGGCAAAGCAAGAATGTGAGGCACAGGACACCCCAGGCCTTCCACCTCGGGTCCTGCTGGCTCTCTCACCCAAGTGCCCCTTTCCATCCATTCCTCCTGTCTCCACCCTGGCCCAAGCTTCATGGCCACTCACCTGCACATTGCAGTGGCTAACACAAGCCCTCTGCCCTTCCAATGCATCTTCTACCTGGCAGCTAGTGTCATCTCCAAAATGCACAAGTGGTGTGTCATTCCTCCCTGATATGAGACCCTTCATGCGGGCTCTCAGTGGCCTGCAGGCCTGTAGGGTCATCCCCAGGAGCGGCTCTGAGCTGCACTGTGCATTCACCGTCCCCACCCCACTGCAGCCTCACCCGGTGTCTTCCAGGCTCTCATGTTCCCTGGCTCTGTGGCTACAGAGCCACGGGGCCCTTGCACATCAGTCCCCTGCCTGGAACTCTTCTGTCTCCTCTGGGCCCAGTGGCCTCTCAGTCCCTGCCAGATTTCGGATCAGCCTCACTTCCCGAGGAAAGGCCCCTCCACCCTGCGCCTCCCCCACAGCTCTCCCAGCACTGCTCGGCACTCCCCCCACTGCACCCGAACTTTGTCTATGCAGCAATCACTCTCCTACCCAGCCTCGTCTCCTGCCAGCACCCACCATTAGCTGGACTCAGATTATTTATGGACGCATTCATGTGTTAAATGTCTGTCTCCTGCAGGAGAACAAGATGGGGCTTTGTCCTGCTCACTGCTGTGGCCCAGAGCTTGGCACAGAAAGGGGGCTCAGCACGTGCAGAGGTGAGACACCTGCTCTCCCTGATCACTACTCAGGCCACATGGGAGCGGAGCTGAGGAGGTCCCTCTTCCAGGGAGCCCCTGATCTCTCAATGGCTCCCTGGTCAGGGCCTGGGAAACTTCCTACATAACAGGACCTACCAGCCTATACAAGGGGGTCAGTAGGATTTCAGTCAACCATCCCTCAACGAAGCCCTCCATGCTCAAGAAAGCAGGGAACCTGCCAGGAATGGGGACATTCATCTGAAGTTCCTCCCCAAAGGTTATAGAGGCCTCTTCCTCCTCCAGGAAGCCTCCCTGACGGCCTTGTGTCTCAGAATTGCTAAAGCTGCTCCTCCCTGCCACAATGTGTCCTATCTCATCCTCTCATTGCACCATGGATTGTTAAGGTACGCACAGCCGGTGGCATGGTGGGTAAGGACAGGGTTGGATGGCTGGACAGGTTTGCGTCCTGGCCAAACCCTCAAACCCCAGCTGGGTGACCTTTGCGAAGTTACTCAGTCTCTCTGAGCCTCGGTTCCCTCATCATAGTAAACTCTCAAGGTAAACTCTAAACAAGTTATGGTGACTACTCCGCCACAGCGCCCAGCCCGGGCCAGACACAAATATACTCTGGCAGGTCATCTGGATCTCAACCAGCTTCTTCTGTTACCTTTGAAGAAACTGAGGCCCAGAGAGGGTAGGTGGCAGGCACCAAGTCCCCCAGCAAGCTGCTGCAGAGTGGTCAGCTCCCTGGCATCTTTCCCAGGTTAGAGCTTGGTCCCCTCACCCACAACTCCTCTCTGGACCTCTCCTGATGAAGTCACTGCTGTAACTCTCCTATTGTTGAGGAGGGTTGGGTCCTTGTGCAGGGAGTCCAGACAGGGGGGACAGCCCCGTCCTGATGGCCAAGGATCTAAATGGGAGGTGGCTAGGGGTTTGCCATCCAGGGAAGAGGCTGCTTCAGGGGTGGGTGGCAGTGCCTGCCTGCCATGGCTGCCCGGGGGCTGGCTCCACAGTCAAGGCTGCATGGCCCAGGGAGCAGAGCCCTGCCCCTTGCTTACCAGACTGTGAACCTGGAAGAGTGGGCCCTTTTAAGGGGGTCATCCATGCAAGGTTTCAGCAGCACCAATAGCTGGACAGAAGGAAACCACCACCAGGGAGGAGGCGCGACACCTCGTCCATGATCACCAGCAAGCAGAGATGCAGGGAGCATAGGACGGGGACCTCCGGTGTCCCAGGCTTGAGGCCTAGCACCAGACTGCCCTCCCAAGCATAGCAATGTCTGGACCAGGACACCCAGGGTTGGGCCGCCTGCCCCGATCTGGCACAAGTTGGTGGGGGGCTGTTCTGCCTCTCCTGGCCTCCAGTCGTCCTCTTCTGTTTTCAGGCCTCAGAGAGTGCTAGGGAAAGCCAGGGCTAGAGAGTAGGAGGCTGAAGTGGAATCAGGCCCCACCACTGCCAAGGAAGCTCTGCCCATTATTTGCAGCTAATGGGGACAACAGTGCCCCAATTTCTAGGGCTGGCAGGGCCTGTGTGCCTGGTGGCAGGGAAGTAAGAGCCATGCTGTTATTATTAGTAATAATCACAGGGTTATTATTACTATACTAACGGCCTGTGAGGGGCCCCAGCAGGCACACTGTTCCCTTGCCTTGTCCAGACCCCGATGGCTGACCTCTGATACAGGCCAGAGGAGCTCAGTGGGCAGAGAGGTAAGGACCGTTTGAGAGAAAGAGGCCAAGGACAGCCCAGAAAGAGGACAGAGGAAGCAGGTGTTTATTGACTGCCTGCTGGGCCCTGGCATGCTGCTCTGTGCTATGTGTGCCACCTGGCTCTACCCTCACCAGGACCTTCAGTCAACTTCCCAGTTTACAAAGAGAAGAACTGGGGCTCAGAGAGGTCGAGTGACTACCCCAGGGTCACTCAGTCAAAGAGTGGGGGCAGCTGGCAAATATGTGTTGTTTAGTTTCCCCTTAAAAATTCCTTTTTCTGGCTGGTTGCAGTGACTCACACCTGTAATCCCAGCACTTTGGGAGGTCGAGGCAGGAGGATCATGAGGTCAGGAGATCGAGACCATCCTGGCTAACGTGGTGAAATCCCGTGTCTACTAAAAATACAAAAAATTAACCAGGTGTGGTGGTGGGCGCCTGTAGTCCCAGTTACTCAGGAGGCTGAGGCAGGAGAATTGATTGAATGTGGCGGGTGGAGGTTGCAGTGAGCCGAGATCATGCCACTGTACTCAAGCCTAGGTGACAGAGCGAGACTCTGTCTCAAAAAAAAAAAATTTCCTTTTCCATTTTTATATTTTGGGTGAGCATGGGACTCCAAATCTATTGTTTAAAATTATGTTTAAATTGTGGTAAAATACACATTCTATAAAACTTAGCATTTTAACCATTTGTAAAATACGGTTCAGTGACCTTGAGTACATTCTGGAGTATGGTTTTAAGCCTGACTGGTTCTGAAATCTGTGAGCTTTACATGACAAAACAGAAACTAAAGAAGGGGGAAAGAAGGACAGTGACACAGCACGTCAGGGAGACAGAGACTGAGACAGAGAGAGGGGGAGGGAGAGAAAAAGAAAGAAGGAAAGCAGGCACATAAGGAAAAGAGAGAGGGAGAAATGAGCAGGGAGAGGCAGCGAAATCAAGAGAGCCGAAGAAAGAGAAAGCAAAGGATCCAGACAGAGACGGGAAAAACAAAAAGCCAGGAAGGCTGCCCGGGAGCCCCGAGTCTGGGGTGGGTGGGCTCTGTCCGGTGACTGAAGCGGGGTCCCACCTGCCTGTCTTAAGCCCCAGGGAGGGCTTTTCACCCTGAGGGCTCTGCACTATCAAGAGGGACCTGGTGGCAGTGAGCAAGAGCCCCTCACTTAGACTCGAGGGCACCCTGGGGGTAGGCTTAGTTCTGGGACATATGGGGAACCCCAGGGCTCTGCCTCCTCCTCTGGGAGTACCGAGGGTCCCCCACACATCCGAGAAGGAAGGGACCCCACACTTCCTCGCATTTCCCAGTTTCGGCTGCTCTCCTCTCTCCCTCCAGATTTGGGCTACATCCCAGCACCACTTGAACGGTTATTTACTTAATACTCTCAACTTTTTCTTTTTAACCTAAAACAATTTATTTCGACGCAGGAAATGCCATATCATTATTGTGAATGGAAACCAGTATCACTTTCCACAAACAGAAGGAACTGTAAAAATAACGATTGCATTGAATTCTGGGTCGGTGCCGTGGGGTGCCAGGGCCGTGAGGCAGAAACCTGCCCTTTTTGTTAAACAGGGAGATTGGCAGGTGTTTGGGAGGGCTCAAGAGCTCCCACCTGACGGGAACTTGCTCCCTGACAGAAGCAGAAGGATGGAGAGAAAATGGAAAGGGAGTGAGGGCTCACGGGGCACTCCGTGCTATCGAATGCAGTGGGGATGGTCCCAAAGTCAGGCTGGGACACGTGGCCAGCATTTGGGGAAATGCTAATCCAAGGTGAAGCCCAGGGTGGGTGGTGGGGAACTGAGGACCAGGGGGCACCATGGCTGTGTGAAGTCTCACATGGAGCCAGGCCTGTGCCTCTCGGCCTGGGGGGTCCTGGGGGTTCCAGGCACGTGGGGTGGGCTTACCGGTGGCCTCATCCAGGCCTTCCTGTGTGACATGGTCGTTCTGGCTGACCCACTCGCCGTTGCACTTGAAGTAGATCTGCGTGGCGGGGAAGGCACGGCAGCGGAGCTCCACAGGCTTGTTCTTCACAATGTAGGTGTCCTGTGGCTCCTGCAGGAAGTAGGGCAGCGGCTCTGCCGGCGCCGAGGGGAAGGAGTCAGGGAGCACCTCGCTGCCGGAATCAGTGCCTGCAGAGTGAGTGGAGACCTCCATGAGGCTGTGTGCTGGGAGGGCCCTGTGGCACCCCTCGCCCACCCCGGGGGCCCACCGCAGATGAAGAGGGCAGGGGAGGCAGAGGTGGGGCAGCCAGAGCTCTGCTGGGGACGCAATCTGCAACCAGGGTCAAGTCTGGCACTCCTGCGGCCTCAGTTTCCCATCTTGCCCTGCTTTTAAGAGGCTAGGCTTTATAAAGAGCCAGTTCCCGCTCTGAGATGCTGTGCGATTGTACTTCATTACAGATGGAGAGGCCAGGGAGGTCCCGGGAGGGGAGGCAATCTGTCTGGGTGAGGATACCCCTTGGGCACCCCCCAGCGTCTGCTCCATTGTCCCTGCCCGGCCTCTATCCAGTTCCTCATGGTGACGCCACCAGACGCAATGGGCTGGAAACGGGGCTGGGGCTGGAGCTCAAACCAGGCCAGCTCTGCCCTGGAGTCACAGCTGCCCTTTGCAGCCCCGGCCAGGCTGGCAAGCAGGACAGGAGTCAGGGCTGCGGGGCAGGGGTGGGGTGAGCCGGCTGAACCAGGCCTGGACTCCACAGTGCTCGGCCCCTTGCAGGTCTCCTACCCCAGGGGAAGCCCTCCTTCCCAGAAGCCTCCCCACAGAGCTTACCTCCCATGGTCTGTGGCTTTCACCCAACCCTCGGCCTCTTCTTCCCAACCCCCACCCCAGCCCTTAGCACAATGGATGAAGAGACTTCAGAGCAGACGAGGCTGTGCCTGTGGCAATCTCCTCCCATGAAGGGGGCCAAATGGAAATCCTGGCCCACCCGGTCTCCCTGGAAAGAACTGCACCTCAGGAGGTGAGACAAACAGGAAGAGGGGTGTGGCCACCGCCAGTGCCCAGAAGTCGGGAAACCGGGCCGCTGAGCTGCTGGTTTACAATCCACCTCCGAAAACGAATTTTCCAGCGCCAAATGCCAAATCATCAGGTGGCTGGGCACAAGCTGTCGGGGGCCTGTCCTCCTCTGCTGACTGCCCAGAGGACACAGTGAATGAAGCTGTGGGGTGACGCATGGCTGCCCAGCCCCTCCAGCCAGAGGCCCCACCTACAGCCGAGGGAGTGGGGAGGGTGGTGTCCGGGGAGGCCTGTGTGGCCACTGGGATCATGCACTTGTTCTCTGGTCTAGAAGGCCATATTTGGCCCTAGGGAGTCCCCCTATAGGCAGAGGGGCCAAGGGGACACCTGGTTTCCCAAGAACAGAAAGTCTGACTATGCTTTCTCTTTGTGGACCAGGAGAGCCTGCTGAGACTGGGGAACTTGGGAGAAAATGCATAAACTATCACCAGCTTGGGGCCTAGGCCCTGGCCAGTGTGTATGGGGGGTGGGGGCGGGGGAGCTAACAAGATGACACATGACTCCAGCTCCATCCAGCATGTTCTGTAGGGCCCAGGGAGAGAACCTTAACTCCTACCTCGTTATGCCTGATGAGCACAAGAGGTGGACACGCTTCCCCTGTCTCTGGGCTGCTCTGAGGATCGCATGAGATAAACAAGCATGAACGCCTAGGTGGGGCCTGGCGCACAGTAGGTACATGTTGCTGCATTGAAAGAACAACTAATGCTTACCCAGCATCAGGTGCTATGTTTGCAGGAATTTAAATTGTTAACTTATTGAATTCTGGCACCAACACTGTAAGGTATGTTCTATTAGTCCCCAGTTTAGAGATGGGTAAATGGAGGCTCAGGGAGGTTAAGCAACTTGTCCAAGTTCACACAGCTAACAAGTGGCAGATCAAAAGTTTGAACCTGAGAAAAGACTTCACCGTTTGGGCTGTTGTCTCAGACTCCACACCACCTATCATTGATGTAGCTCTGTAACGGTGTGGGTGTCTCCACACCCGGGAATCCTAATAGCACCCTGACAGTGACCAGAACTCCATAGTCCACAGGGCTCTCTCATCAAGGGGCCAGCAAGGCTGGAACTGTCCTTATTTCAAAGCAGAGGAAACTGAAGACCATTCAAATGGTTCGCATGACTTGCCTGAGGCCACCCAGTGAGCGGGCAGCTAATGTGGGAACAGCAAGGCAGATTCCTGAGGCCAGGCCAGGGCTCTCTGACACCTGCTTCCCACTGCCAGGTACAGGGACACGTTCACTGTAGGCAAACTGGTAGCCCCCTAGGGCTGCTTGGGGATTTGATGAGATGACACAGTGACTTGATCACACAGCCCAGGGAGCTGAACACTGGCTTCCAGTGGCCTGAGAGCCGGTTGCTGTGCACACCCTGAGATGGCCACTGAGGCTTCCCTGCCAGGCCAGGCAGCTCTGGGAGAGCAGGATGGAGCCAGGAGGGCATCTGGGCAGCAGAGAACCTGCCAGACTCCATGCCCACCACTGACCACCAGCATCTTGTCTCCATCTCAGCCCTGAGGGCTGTGGGACAGAGCTCTGCCTTCAGACTCAGAGGCCCCTGGGTCTGAACCAGCCCCTTGCTGGCCTCAGGCAGCTTGTCTTTGAAACGGCGGGATTGAGCCTCCCTCTGGGGGTGGGTCACAGCCACAGGAGAAGGGGCATGGGGGCCCATGGGTGCATGTCACGTGCCTACACCCATCTCTAACCGTACCGCCCCCAGCCCCGGGGTGACAGCTGCCTCTGTGCTTTGCAGCACTGCAGGCTGTATTATGACTTTGTTTTATAACTCTAATGCAGACCATTTATAAAGTGGGTACAGACAGGACTGAGGAAAGCAAACATTAGACATCCATTAGTGCAGCAGGCCCTGCGTCTGGCAGCCCTACCGCCCCACTCTTCCCACCCTGCCCCTCCTCTCAGCCCTGGTGCAAAGATTCAGCTCTGGCCTTGGCAGGAACGCAGGCCAAGTGTCCCCTCTGTGCCTCTCTGTTGCAGCAGCACTGGATGGCTCTTGATGTAGCTGTTGCCCTCTTGCTGTGTCCCTATACCCTAGGTGTCCTGGAGGCAGAGACTGCCAGGAGATACGAAAGAATGAAAGGCCCACCTGAGGTTCCTGCCTGGAGGGACCACGAGTGGACTCTGCTGGCCAGCAGCACACAGCAGGTGCACAGTGAATGCAACTTGAGTAAGGGAGTAGGCCGGGCGTGGTGGTTCATGCCTGTAATCCCAGCATTTGGGGAGGCTGAGGTGGGTGGACTGCCTGAGCTCAGGAGCTCGAGACCAGCCAGGCCAATGTGGCGGAACCCCATCTCTACTAAAAATACAAAAATTAGCCGGGCATGGTGGTGTGCACCTGTAATCCTAGCTACACGGGAGGCTGAGGTGGGAGAACTGCTTGAACCCGGGACGCAGAGGTTGCAGTGAGTGGATATTGCACCACTGTACTCCAGCCTGGGTGACAGAGTGAGACTCTGTTTCCAAAACGACAACGACAAAAAACAGTAAGGGAGTAAGTGTGGGGCATGCCAGGGCCTGTGCAGAGCCCTCACTTCTCCCTGGCCCTGGCTTGGGCCCCAGTGACTGAGGAAGGCTTGAAAGGTGGGCTAGATGAGAGCGACCCATGGTCAGGCTGCATAGGTGCCAGCTGGGTGGGAGAATAATGGGGTCTTGGGGTTCCTGGATGCTTACCCTGCCAGGCGCTGCTCAGAGGGTGGTTCATATAAACTCAATGAGCTCCACAATAACCCTAGGCAGAGATGCAGAAATGTTTTGATTTTTAGCATATCAGTAATTTTTTTAAGCTATCCCAAGGCCAAAAAGAAGTCCCTAACAGGAATGTATTAGATCGCAACAGCTTTGTAAATATTTATATTCTGAAATCTTAGGATAAATTGAAAGAAAAAATATATTTTTATCCCATTCCTAAATAGCCACAAAGAATTATGAATGGGGATGTGTGCACCCGTCGGGCGCTGTACAACTTCTCAAACTTTGGAATCCGAGTGGACACCACTACTCTTATTGTTTGTCGTGGGCTACTCCCAAATGCCACAATCCCAGCTGTGCAAAGATATGGTGCCAAATAAAGGAAAGCAGAGTGATAGGACATTGAAACTGTGAGCTACTCGTTGGTGCAGTGTCTGACAGCTATCTAGCATTACTGTGTTTCCCACATTGAAAATATCCCACGGCTCCCCTGTGAGGGTGCTGAGGAACCCTGGGATAATTTGGCACACAGTTTGGGAACCACAGGCCTATGAGTTGGATATGATTATTATCCCCACAGTGCAGATGAGGAAACTGAGACCAAAAGTGTTTAAGTGACTGGTATAGAGCTATAAAGCTAGTAAGTGGCATCGCTAGGGGGCAAATTCAGGGAATCTGATACCAGAATCTGTCTTCCGAGCTCTGCTGAACTGGAAATGGGCATTTAAGCCTACTACGTGCTACTCCTCACAACTCTTCCCATTTTACAGATGAAAACGTGGGGCAACAAGGGACATGAAGGGTCACCTGGTCGATGGCAGGAAGCAAGGCTTGAGCCGCGTCTCCCAGCCCCGCCTCCCAGCCCCGCCTCCCTGGCCTCTCTGCAGGACTTCCTGCCGCTCTGTCTCTACAGAGGAACCACATCTAAGATAGGCTCCCCTAGAAGTCTTTGCCTCAGCCAGGCCGGGTCTGGGTTTCCTGCTGGCAGGAAAATTCCCACAGAAAGTGTTTTTTCCTAATAGTAGAACTCATTTGGGCCTAAGTTGCAAAAGTGCAGCCTGCCTTTAAAGCTGCATCCAAGAATGGTCCAGATATCCCGCCAAGAAGCTATGAAAGAGGACACATCCCTGCACAGATGTAACAACAAGACAGTCAAATGAAGGACAGGAAAAATCGCTGGAGGCAGAGGCCCTGGGTTTGCATCCCAGCTGGGGACTGGCACTGCTGTGTGGCTGTTCTCTCCCAGGCCCTGGAGTTTCCGTCTGTCAAATGAGGAGGTTGGCCAAGTCAGTCTCTTAAGCCTTCCTCTGCTTCTAACACTTGGAGGTTTAAAGATCCCTTAAGGGGAATCTGTTCATGTGTGAAAATGTCCAGTTGAGTGAATGTTTTTCTTCAGAAAGCACATTTGCTTA